AGAGAGAGAAGGGGGAGGGGGTTTGGTGGCGAGAAGGATAAAAAGATTCACCTCTTTCAAAGCCTCTCCGATGGTTTCCTCTATCTCCTCCTCAGTTGGAAGCGCCACCTCTCCTCCCTCCTCCTCCTCTCCTCCCTCCTCGTCTCCTCTCACCTCCTCTGCCCTGGCCACAACGCTGAACACGACAAGTGTCGCTGCCACGCAGAAGATCAAGATTTTGGGGTTCATCTTCACTTGGCACGCGTGGGCTGGGGGGAAAAACAGCAATAACAATAAAAACAATAACAATAACAATAGCAACAATAGCAACAATAGCAACAATACCGACGCGGTTACAATAACAATAACAATATAACAATAACAACAATAACAATTATAATAGCAACAATAACAACAATACCAACGCAGTTACAATAACTATAACAATAGCAACAATAACAACAACAATAATAGAAACAATAGCAACAATAGCAACAATAACAACAATACCTTCGCAGTTACAGTAATAACAAAAATAGCAGCAATAATAACAATAGCAACAATAACAACAAATAACAACAACAATAACAATAACAATAGCAACGAAAACTACTTCAGCAGCAGCAGCAGTAACAAAAATCGCAACAATACCGACGCAGTTACAAAAAAAGCAACAATAACAACAATAGCAACAATAACAATAATAACAACAACGATAGCAACAAAAGTAACAACAACAACTGCAACAACAATAACCAAGCGGTTGCAACTATAACAACAATTTTTCAGTTGTTTAAGAAAGACAGTGAATGAATGAATTCAAAGAATTAAAGACACAGACACAACGTCCTAATAAAGAATTTTCTTTCGATTCCATCTACCGGTACTCGGAGTGAAACGTTACATTCGGAGCTCCCAATCAATGTTGAAATTAATTATGCAATCAAACCTCCTCTAACGAAAGTTCCAAAGCTTGTAAGATACAGAGTCAAAGGAGTGGTTGGTTGGCGGGTGCTTTGGTGTGGTTTGCTCTTTCTTTCCAATCTAACATAATATTATATCATCCTTATCTCTCCTTCTTTTTTGTGTGTCTGTTACTTTCTTGTGATACCTCTATTCTTTAAATTCGCACTCGTCTGACCTAATCGGTGGGTGGTTGGCGGGTACTCTGGTGTGGTTTGCTTCTTCTTTCCTATCAAACGTCTATCGTCCTTATCTCCCCTTCTTCTTTTTTATGTTTGTTACTCTCTCTTAACACATCTAATCTTCTGGCGCTCATATGACCTTATGCAATTGCGAGTGCCGTAAAACCTCTACTAAAACTTAACTAAACTGACCTAATCGTGTTAAAGACGCCGTAAAACTCTTACCAAAACAATAAAACTAGAGTCTAAGGTTTGTTGAATGTCGCCGATCGGACAAGGTATACTCACAATTCTCTCCGACAAGACAAGACAAGGTATACTCACAATTCTCTCCGACAAGACAAGACAAGACAAGGTATACTCACAATTCTCTCTGACCCACAAGACAAGACAAGACAAGACAAGGTATACCCATAATTCTCTCTGACAAGACAAGACAAGACAAGACAAGACAAGACAAGACAAGACAAGACAAGACAAGACAAGACAAGACAAGGTATACCCACAATTCTCTCTGACAAGACAAGACAAGACCAGACAAGACAAGACAAGACAAGACAAGACAGGACAAGACAAGACAAGACAAGACAAGACAAGACAAGACAAGACAAGACAAGATAAGACAAGACAAGACAAGGTATAGTCACAATCCTCTCTGACAAGACAAGACAAGACAAGGTATACTCACAACTCTCTCTGACCCACAAGACAAGACAAGACAAGGTATACTCACAACTCTCTTTGACCCACAAGACAAGACAAGACAAGACAAGGTATACTCACAATTCTCTCTGACTTTGTGTTTCAGCTTTCTGCACGATATTCCAAGCTTGACAATATTCCCCCTTCAAATCTGTCCGACTTTTATAGGATGTTGGTGTCAAGTCCTCATTAGGAAGAAGACAATAAACGAACGTTAATACAATGTTGGTGTGAATTCCTCATTAGGAAGAAGACAATAAACGAACGTTTATACAATGTTGGTGTGAATTTCTCATTAGGAAAAAACAATAAACGAACGTTTATATAATGTTGGTGTCAATTCTTCATTAGGAAGACAACAATTACAGAAATGTTTGTTCAATATGTTGGTGTCAAATCATCATAAGGAAGAAGACAATGAACGAACGTTTTTACAATATGTTGGTGTCAAATCATCATTAGCAAGAAGACAATAAACCAACAGGCCGAGCTTTTGGGGAGCAAGATGTGAGACTTCGGTCAGTGCGAATCTCTTCGCGCCACAAGCTGTGGGAGTGCCCTGGGGATGTCAGAGACATTACTGGCGGCGTTTTTTTTTTAAGTTTGTTTTTTGTTGTTTGTTTGTTTGTTTGTTGTTTTGTGGTTGTTGTTGTTGTTGTTGTTGTTTGGTTTGTTTGTTTGTTTGTTTGTTGTTGTTGCTGTTGTTGTTGTTGTTTTGTTTGTCGTTGTGTTTGTTTTGGGGGGTTTTGGGTTGTTGTTTTTTGTTTTTTGTTTTTTGTTGTTTTGTTGTTGTTGTTGTTTTGTTTTTGTTTTTTGGGGGGGGGGTTCGCAGCAAGGAGCAAATCATAATACATACATTAGATCTGTCTCTATATCCTAGTTTTGTCCCCAAAAAGTGGGATCGAAATCATTTTCTCGGAGTAAGATAATAAATAATATTATTGTTTCATGTTACAGAATGAGTGTATTGTCCACCAGGTGTGTTCCGAGGAAAACTATTAACCTGTGTTTTCAATCATAGGATCTTTTCAGTAGGTGACGGATTAATAATAATAATGAGCAACATCTGAAGAGATTCTAATTGCTGGGAAACGAAGCGGTAAATTAACACATTGTTGTCATGGTTTTTGTCGTTGTCACGGGAACTGGGACGAGATAGAAACGATCACAGAATCAAAGGGTGAGCGTGCCTCCAAAAACGTACGGTATATCTAACGAACTAACGAAGCGTATTTTTAGGCTTAGTAGCAAAAGATGCATTTATGCTACAGCGTGGTGGAATCAGGCTCTCGTCAAAATAATCAAAGTGAAAAAACTTGCATTTTCCCGCACGTTTGTGAATTTTTATTAAAATTTTGATTTTTGGCTCAACACCTGTCATGCCCATTAAAGAACTCATTTCTGTACGGATTTTTCTTTAAAACGTTGATTAAAGGCACCAAAAAATATACATTTTCAGTTACCCCGGACTCTTAAGCTAAGGTAAATAACTAATATTTGGCGGCCATTTTGTCACTAATTGTACCTCTGAAAACAGGTGACCCCCACCTCCTTCATTCACAAATATCTCGACTTGTATTCAAGATAAATGGATATATTTTTCAACCAAATAAAGACAAGTGAACAAGCTATGATACCAATACCTCTACATACTCAAAAATCGACGAGAGCCTGATTCCACCACGCTGCCTCACAATTACTAATCACGATGAGCAAAAGGTCGAGAAACATCGCCCCCCCACCCCCCTGCCCCCCGCCCCATTTATTGTTTTGCTTAACTGTTTTCCGTTTCCCTTGCACTAAATGAACGTTATCGTGTCCATGTGATTTCTTTCAACTTGAACTCTTCCCCAAAAAACAAAGTTTTAATGGTTCTCGTTTTCGGCCATAAATTTAAAAAGTGAAGCAGTAGAATAAGATAAGATAAGATACATCTTTAATGTCCAGGTCCTGGCACATTGGTTTGGTGTTTTACCACGTGTATACACACACACACACACACACACACACACACACACACACACACACACACACAA